TATTGGGTAAGAGCTAGAGGCCCCAGAGAAGCTCTGAAACACAGCAGCTAAATCCTGAGAGATAACGGGGATGCTCACTGAACTATAAAATTAAAAGGCCTGCTACTGTTCCCACCGACGTCCCAGTGAGAGAGCAGGTTGCTGCTAATTTTTTACAGGAAGAATTCAAGTCCCAGAAAGCCTTGACTCGTTGAATGGCACCAACTAGAAAGTGAGGGTAGAGAACTGCTGTTGTCTCAACCTTGTGTGTATTACACTATTTGCCTAAATGTTTGCAAGTATTGCTACAATGTTACAATAATGAATGAGGTTCTCCTTGTGTTACCTGCCAATATAAACAGAAAATGAAATCCAATCTCCCCTCAAAAAATGCATAGTCCAGTTAAAGAATGGATTAAAGGACCAAATGCATAGAAGTTTAAGCAAAGTGTCTGTATTATGCAAAAAGAGTGCTTTTAAAGTCCTTTAGTTCTTCATCCAGTTTCGACGGGTTTTTGTGCTGTGATTAATACTACTATAAATAATAAGGCTAGCTGTGCTATGAAAGTTATAACCAGGTGTGTTTGCAGGGCCTGGCCTAACATACCCAGACAACAGGACCCAAGTGGATTATAACTTACATTCTTAAAGTTATATCTGGGCACAAGTCTTTACTTGTAGCAGTCTCTGTTTACCATTTAGTCAAACACGGCCAAGTTCTACAAGTTTTCTTCCCAGTTTAGTGTATTACAGTAAGCATGTGTGAATAGATGGAAAAATTAGATATTATTTCTGTAAATTCTAAACTGTTAGCTAAAATATGTAACGGACAATTAAAGGTATACTGAAAATGCACATTTCTCTCAAGTTAATTTTTATATCAGATATTTACTGATCCTTATCTAAGTGTACTTCTTTGATTTCTAGGACTTTTGCCACCTGTGGGACCATTCTTTCACATTTTACCAAGACGACATGAGGAAGTATCCAACAGCCCTGGCAGCACAGAGAGGCAGCTCTCGCAGTTCACAACTCAGTCACTTTGTAAAAATATGGACACTGTCTTGGTTTCTTTCCAATGTTTACACATCATGCTGGCAATATGGCTGTAAACTGACATGGGGTTACAGGTCTAAGAAAGTTTGTGCAATTTTTGAGGTGACGATGATGGCTGCTTCGTAACTATTTTGCTGCCTCCTGATTACGCTTCTCCCTCTGTGCGCTATCACATTTACCGTGCAAACACAGCACGCCTGGCTGTCAAGCTTCCAAGAGCAAACACCATGTAAAAGGGCCATTCCACTGTGTGCAGAGCCTGTTACCGCCCAGGCCCTCCTGCTGTGGCTAGGAGATGCGAGCCAACGTCTGGAATCACGGCGCGGCAAGTTTCCCCTCCAAAAGTGACGACTGATCTTCCAGCTCACTTTACTTGGAAGGAAAGGTCAGGAGAGAGTCACAAAGAACAATTACCTCCAGCCGTCAGGGAGGAGGTGCTGGGAGAAGAGTAGCATCTGCCACCCGGCCACTGACCACATCACCCAAAGACGCAATCTAGCGCTGAAAGGAAGACGGAAGCAGAATGCAGAGTTACCACACAAGAGCAGTGAGCGGAGAGAAACGTTTAACCCGTGCCACCCGGCCACCAACCGGCCGTGCTGCC